AGTACAAGTTCTAATAGATACATTAACATCATAAAATTTGTCAGTAATTGTTATATTAGGCACAATATAACTATTTTTTGTTTTGTTATACCAAACTTTTGATAAATTAACAAGTTTTTATTTAGGACAAAAAAGTATTTAGATATTTCTAAATGGTTGAGATGATGATTTGCAATAGCTAATATGTGTTGTTTATAAAACCATTCCCCATATGTCATAATAAATTAAAAAATTTGAACAATATTTTAGACTTGAGTTCATACAAAGACAAATATCTTTATAAGCCCAAAACCTTATTCAATATAATTATTCATATAATTGTTATTTAATAGAGCCCAAAAAATACATTACTTTCAAAAATATATATAATGTACTACAAGCTAATTATATTTAGTAAAAAATTGATCCTTAAGTTTAATATATAATATTTCTATTTCAGATATGATTAATGTATATAAAATCTTTTTAAATAATAACATAATTTGTATATAATCATCTTTATGTATTTTATGTTTGCTATCATATAATCATCACTAAAACATTTATAAAATATGAAAAATATAAAGTAACTGAATACTAGTTGGTTAGCATAATTCTAAAGCATTTGTTTTGTATATAAATTATCTATAATAATAGTTTTAGGTCCAAGTTGTGGTCTATGATTATAAAATGTGTTATTAAATAATATTGATTTAAGTAAATTTATAATATTTTTAATTATAACTTCAGCTTCATCAGAAGTTAAAAATATTCCTAATAGTAATGTGCTAATTGTATAACTTGTGTATAAGAGTATAATAAATGTATTAAGTGGATCGAATGATGCTAAAGCATCAAGATAGCAAAGTTCATTAGATTATTGAATTTTATTGTGAACTCTTAGAATCAAAAATATTACAATACATAAAATAAAAGGTATACAGGTAGAATAATTATATTTTTGAAGAATCGCAGTATCATTTCCTGAATTATTATAAGAAATAACTATTTCTTGTAAATGATTAAACATTCCTTGTCCATTATGTTCTCCAAGTTATATAATACAAAATTGATTATAAAGATGTTTTAAAAAACTCTATCCAGATTTTTTTGTACAATCAGCTAATAAATATGCAAGTTCATTATCATCTTTTGTTGACAAGTACAATTTATCTTTATATATATATTATACTAAGACTGTTGAATATCCTATTTTAAACAATTTAAAATACCTTTTTTGAGCTTCAGTACCAACTAGTCTAAAACTAAATGAAGTTGCTGAATTAGGTAAATGATTATGTAAAAACCTAAGATTGATTTCAAATAGATAAAAAATTTTCAAATTATTTTTTTTAATTCAAAAATTAAGAGTAACTTGACAACCAGTATCTCTATTTCTCTAATTATCAGGATTTTAATTTTACATTTATTGTTTTTTTGTTTTATAATATGATTATGAATACAATGTCATAACTCTTAAAAAACAATTTTAGATCCTTTAACTGGAAATATTTGTGTTAATTTCATTGTAGTTTTTGATTTTTCTTGGAATTGAGTTAACCATTTCAATATATTATCTTTGATATTTTCAATATTGATATGTACAAATAAATCAACAATAATTTGTCCAATTATAACTTCTTCTGCTGTAATTATTGACACGAATTCACTGTAATTCTTTACTTGATATAAATAATTCGATGGAAGTATTTGTTGAAGTGGAATTGGTAAATTGGTTAAATTAGACTGGTCATTCTAAAATTTGTAAATTTTTAATTGATAAAATAATTTTTATTTATTTACATATATCAATAATAATGATGCTTCATACATTTAATGAAGTATCCATTTTGTCTTTAAAGAAAACAAAAGATTAATTTGCAAGTTAAACTTCATCGCTTTTAATATTAATCATATTCATAATCAGATCAGTGCCGATTTCCGGAGTTTCACATGACTTCCGGAGCAAAAACCTGGTACACATATTCCGGGTGCGTAATAAAAAGCCGATATGTCATTTAATGCATATATGGCCGAAGTAGCAGAAGTACATAAGTACCATAAGTAACATTTCTGTTACTTTTCGCGTGACCTTGGATCGGGTAGGGACCGCCACTCAAAAATCGGGCTCACAGTATAAAGTGAAGAATAATTGCTGCAGTAATGTTATGAATTTTTATGAAATGTTACCTTTCTCTTCATTATTGTGTATATTGTGGAGAAGGCTAGTTTCTTTCTTAAACTGAATATTCATGCAATGGCTTTGTGGTTGTAGCGAAAGTCCAAAAAATTTGTTGTTCTAAATTTAGCAGAATGACTCGAGTTTACCAAAGGTTCGTTCAGGTTAACGACATAGAGAATAGAGTCAGATATTTTGTTTACTTTTTTTTATATAACTTTAATTAATTTATTAATTATGGTTTAGTTTATTTAAAATAGTACGTAATTGTACAGTATTTGATTTAGTAACTATGTTGTCAAACCAATCATTATAGCGAATGTTAGTTTTGATTTTTTCTGCGTTACGCCTAATCCTAATATTTAATAGGGCAATTTATATTGGCCTGGCGCTATTGAATAAGTAAAATTTAGATTGAAACAGAGTCGAATTTTGATCCAATCCCAACTTAATTCCAACTATAAAATCGGGTTGTGAAAACTTGTGCTCGGATTAAGTCGGATTATAAAATCAATGAGAAACTTTTCACGTACAAAAATAAATAAATTTTAATTATTTCTAGTCAATCAATTTTAAATATCAGACTCTAAAGCCGAGTTGTTTATTTAAAATCGGAACACTTACGTGAATCATTTCCATGTAGAGATTATTGAGATTGATAATCTATTTTCATTGTCACATCTGGGGTTGAATAACTTACATAAGTTATTTTGACTGACGTAAGTTTAATTTTAAGTCATGTAACTTATTTAACTGATTTAAGTTTAATTTTAAGTCATGTAACTTACATAAGTTAAAATTTTTGCCTACGTATCACTATTACCTCAGCCTGGAATAGTAAATATTACTCGAAAAAGAAACTTTCCTTTGCTTCATTAATTGTTTACTTCGAAAAAAAATTATAACCTTATATTGTCAAAATTTTAGCTTTTAGTGCAAGCCAACGTTATTATAATTCTGGTCGCATTAAAGTATAGATTTGTAACTTACATAATAGTTACAGTATATGACTTATGTGACTTATTATGTAACTTACGATGTGAGTTACAATACAAGTTACTTAGCTTCGGCTAAAGGGTATCTAAATTTTTTAGCATAAAATTAATTATTTTTTAAAGAATTACATAACTGATTTAATATTTTTTTTTTTGACAACCTATTTGAGCTTAATTTATTCAATAAACTTTTTTAAATAATTTTTTGTTTATAATAGTGAAAGAAATATCAGATTATATAAATTATTTAAACGAATCTTAACCAATAAATTGCTTTCTTTTTTGTGAAAATAATGCAAAGATGATATAAACAATTTTAGTGTGCTAGTTTTTTTTATAAACCAACTTTTAGTGTACTACAGTATATCAATATATATATATTTATTTATAAACGTAAAATATAATATTGTAAAATATAATATTAAAGGTTTTTTTAACTAGTTTCTTGAATAAGTTTGATATTATATTAAAAATTGACCCAAGTTTTTCTTCAATTGACACATAAAACTACCAGGAAAAGCATGATAAAATCACAAAGTGTATGTATGGCTTACCCGAAAAGCAAACGGCATTGGTTCACAAAACTTGATCACAGCTGTCAGACATTGTTAACTTTTCACATGTGACTGCATCGAATGGAATTAGTTTATTACACAACGATAATTCCAAAATTCGGATTCTTATATTAAAGATCCTGGTTTGTCTATTTATTATATTTTGGATCAGTTATATATATTTATTATTTATTTGAATCGATTCTGAGCGAAATAGAGACGGCGCAAAAATTTTGGCAGTCCGTGATCTTTAGCCAATCCGATTCTAAGATCAATAAAAATTTAAAGGCTAAAAAAGCAAGAAATCACAAAAAACTCATAAATTAGCAAGGGAATTAGCCTTTTATTATTAAATAAAAGATTTCGACATAAAAATTAGATATATTCTTTCTACTTTATATTAATGCAGAAATAAATTTTTTTTTAGACGAAAATAGATATCGTTGTTGTTCGATTAGTCACGGGAATCCTCGTAATTAACTTCACGACCGTCTTTTCCATTAACACAGGCAAATATAGCAATTTAAACTTTTACATATAAAGCTATCTTTAATCTTCTGACAAAAAAAGATTTACATGAAATTTCAGTATAAACTATACCCTAATGTAAATCTTAAGCTCTAACCTTGATTACAAAATATCAGTAAATAATTTAAACTCTGTACGTAAATTATCTTGATGATTATACTTTGTTCGTCATAGAAAGTATCGAAAAAATTCAATCAACTGCCCTTGTTGACGACATTTCATTAGTTTGGAAGTTTATTTCCTTCTTTTTTATATCGATTAACTGACCTCTTCAAATACCAGTGTCACACTAAATACTATCAAGAGAATAACAATAATGATTATTAAAGTTTTACTATCGTCACTAGTCGAATATGGCACGAAATATTTGGTATTATTAGGTAGCATGGAATCATCATTAATTCATATCGAGGCCATTGCCTTTTGGCAAGGAAAGATCATTACTTATGAAGTTGGCACTTTTTTTATCACTAAAATTGTTTCTCATTTTTGACTTAAAATATTGTAGACTACACAAGTATCGAGGAGAGTTGAATGCAATATCCAGCTGTACCACCATAAATCTATTGATTTATTAATAAAAAAGATTAAAATGATAAATCTAATTACATAGCATTATAAGTTGATATTAAAATTTCATATACAGTAAATATAGAGTCATACCTCGATTTCAAGTTGTTGTAATTAATGTTTTGAATGAATGGGGCCGAAATAACATTATCAAATTTAAATGTTTTCAAAATATAATAGTTCCTCTAAGATCCATCATAATAATACTGAGCTTATTGTCCCAAGTGCCCACAACATCTTCATAAATCCATATTTTTGTGAATAAAATACGTAGTCTGATTGAATGAATAATCCAACGACGCCAGAACATTTAGTTGGAACAATATTACTCTTTTAAGATCATGAAATAATTTTAATAAAAAAAACTCAAATAATTTAGTATTTGCATGATGCCAAGCATTTCACCTTATTATAAGACACGATTGTCCACTGCCATGGATTAACATTTATATCTAATAAATATACACCTTGTGTTGTAGAATTTGAACCCACATAAACATAAGACCTGGTCGCAACCATTCTGCACGTGGTCCACAAAAGTCGGTCACAAAGTCATTTGATACAAAGCTTTGTAAATATTGAGGGTCATTCCATCTTTGGATTTTAGAATTGTAAACTTGTATGTCGGGACAACTATTATTATGATAATCTCGGCCGCTAATCACGAAGAAAAGGCCACGAGTTTCATCAACCATAAAACCAGGACCGTAACAATTTTAACATTTCTGTTGAAAGTGTTTGCCATGAAATTTTACCTCGCGAAAATGGTGTTACATAATGGAAGAAATTAGTAAATAAAAATTTATTGCATCATACCGTTCCTCCAAAAATGTAAAATGAATTTTTATAAGTTATCAAACAGTTGAAACTAGTGGTCCAATATCTCCTGGGGCTGACATAACTATCAACCTTAAAAGGAGTATAGACTTTCATTTTGTCTAGAGTGAGTGAACATTTAATGTTTAGCTATTGTGATACAGAAGTTACATTTTTTGAATCGCAAATAGTTATGTTTTTGGATAAAATATTGGTTCTCCCATGTTGTCGTATTAAAAACGTAATTTTGAAAATTAATTTTAGCTCACACGCATGTTTATACTTGTATTTTAGTGTAATGAAACATCATACGTTCTGGAAAGAACACATAGAAATCTGGTATAAATGTGTACCAGGTCTCCTGAACTATGAATCATATTCCAAGATTAATGTTAATTAACACGATCAAGAAAATTCAAAGCAAACGGTCGTTTTGTCATAGCTCAAAAATCAGCATAAGAAGCCACCTTTTATGCTCTAACAAAAAGTTTTTTTTTACTATATAAATCACTCTTCTAACTCTTAACCTTAACACTAGTCTTGAGGAATTTTAAGAATTTTGTCAGGTAAAATCTCACCAAAAAAAGTTTCGAGCATCACGTGTAGCGTTGCTAACCAAATTACGTAATATTAATCATCATAGTATGTAATGATTAATTTTGAGTACTAAAAATTCAGGTAACTTGACCAAAAAAGATATAGACTAACAAAATAATTATGATTACGGGTTTTCTAAGTGTTCAAAAATTATAATCCTCCAATTTATGCAATGGCGCAAATTTTTTATTAATACTATCGAGTCATTTGTTACTATTTGGGATTTATTATGTTTTCTTCAATAATATTTTATTGCTGCGTCCTGGATTCAGAATTATAAAAAACCTTTAACTCAAATAAATAATAAGAGTTATAATCTTCCGAAAGGGCATTAAAAATAAAATCTTTCAAGGTTTTCTGATGCAATTGCATTTCTTTGAATTTTATTTCGATTTTCATTCTTTTTTCGTTTATGATTAGTGGAAATTTGTTTACGGCAATCAACGTATATTTTTAGAATAATGTTTATTGGGTCTTATGCTTTTAACAGTCGCTTATCACTTTGAAGAATCGAAGAAAAAAAAAAAATACTTAGTAAATTAATTATGATAAATTTATTATCAGAATATCACATGACTTTAGAGACACGTCGATTGTTTGGCCGGCATCAACTGATCAACATTAATTGACCTAAACTATAACCATAACTCTAACTAGAGATGGCAAAATCGAGGATTTCTTGAATCTACTACTTTTGTTCATTAGGTTTCACGTTTATATATATAACATCTACTTAATTGAGCTCCTACCATTTTTAATTAGTACTCCGGTTAGTTTAGCATATCGGCATCATCTGGTAAATAGAGGAACTCATCGTTAATAATTCTGGTCAAATTTGCAGATCATTTGGCCAGATCTAGAACAGATGGGCTGATCCGAAACGTTTTCCGATTGGTAATTCAAGCCTAGATTATAAAGTTGACCAGAATTATGCCGGCTAGCCTGAATTATGAAAATTGCCTGCGCAGTGTCCCATCTCTAACTCTAACTCTAATTTAGGTCGATCGACCGGTCTATTAATGTTTTTAAGTCATGACTCGATCCAGGGACGACGATGATTATTCTTCGATTATCTGCAAAAAATATTTTTTTGTAAATTTCTGATATTCCGCATTTTGCATCCCTGTCTCGATACCATTAACGGAGGTCCTTAATTCTTTAAACCTCTAAACATCATATTGGCAGTTGATTATTTTTTAATAATAATTTATTGAGGTCCGGTCTAGATTGGTCTCAAGACCGGTTAATAAGACCAGTCCTTATTCATCCCTACATTGAATGTCATTAGTACGTATTTAATTTAGTGTGTAATACGCATAAAGAATATTTAAGATAACTTTATGAATACGAATATTTATTATTCAATTTTATTTTATTTGTGTTAATTTAGTGCGTAATATAAAAAAAGTTTATTAATCCAAAGATATTATAAATATTTGCTACGTATTTATTTTCATTTTATTCGTGTCAATTTAGTGCGTAAGATAAGTATTTATTAATCTAAATCTTATGAAAATTTACTATTTAATTTCATTTATTCGAGTTAATTTAGTGGATAGTATACGTAAAAAATTTTTGTAATGTAATCGAATAAACACTTAATCATTAAATTTAATTTGCATTAATTTAATGTATTAAACATAATGAATATTTACTATTTAATTCCATTTTATTCTATTTATGTTGATTTGGTGCATTAAGCATAAAAACTTTTCGTTAATCTAATAAGCCATTAAAATTTCATGAGTGTCTATTACGTATTTGATTTTATTTTATTAGTGTTAATTTAATGCATGATACAAAGAATATTATATACTCTAAACATTAATAAATTACGTATTTGTAATCGAATTTAAAAATTGTATAAATGAATCTTATAATGACAAATTATTTATACGATACGTAGATAAGATTCTCACCTATAATAGTCTAAAAATGTCATAAATTGATTTTAAGTTATGACAAAACAAAATCATTACCCATTAGAATTATGACAAGTTTATTGGGTATATACCTTTTAAGTTTATTTCAAGGTTCGCTTTTTTTTTAATCTTACATGCAGAATATTTACCTATTTATGGTTTAGCACAACTGAATTGTGCAACAAAAAAATTGTAATATTACAAATTTGATTTTATTGAATAATCCGCCGTACATCTCACATCAAACAACCTATACATTTTGCCTATACACTTGCCTACGTATACATTTGCTAAATGCAATACTCCCACAACATCCGTTTCTGATTTTGGTGACAACATCGCACAGTTATCTTATTAAAGTATAAATTTTAGTTAGTGAAATTATCATTTAAATTATGTATAAAATTTATCATTATAGATACTAATTTGTAAATATTTTCAACCATAAATAGCATTATATTAATAGTTATAAAATTAGTTAAAAAAATCGAACAAATGAATATGAGTGTTCAAACAAAGATAGAGAATATTTTTTGGGTTAACAATAGAATAATCGAGTCATAAAATGGCACAATGACATGATGGTTTAACCTGATTTAGTAGCAGTTCACATACGTAAACAGATTTACAAATAATTTACTTACATTTTTTACGTACATTTTTTATGTGCGTTTTTTCGCCACAGTTATTTTACTACGTCGTACGTACCTCTACCTCTTACTTTATATGCATGTATGATATATATTTAGTATGTAACAATACGTAACATTCATGTATGTTCTTTATACGTATTTGAAAATTTCGCATATGTCATTCTACTAAATTTCGGAGGCTTCAGGAGCTTCAGAAGTTTCGAAAATTAGTTTCGGATGTTCGGATGTTTCAAAAATTTCAGAACACTAATTATGATAATTATGATAACCCATTTTTTTTCATCATAAAAATTAAATAGCATGTAAGCCATTAATCACTTGAATACCTTGTGATATTATGACTGAACAGAGGAACGGATTGTACGACCGAACGGAGAACGACGCACATACATCACATACACGAGTAGTTTAATCTGTTAGAACTCCTTTTCCTGACAATCGGTTTACCGACAATTAATTTATAGTTAGAGTTAGCCCGGTTTAAAGTTAGTGTTTTTTAGAATTAAAAGTCGTGAATAATTATCAGTGAAACTTGGATGGATTCAGTTTTAATTTTAGATATTTAATTCTATAGATATTTAATTCTATAGTATTTAATTTTATAGATATTTAATTTTACGTAAAATAATAAAATAAACACTACGTATAATGCTAGATTCGAATAACAATAAATGTTGGAGATTGGTGAATGAAAAAATTTCATTTAATAAAGAAACTACGGTAGTTCTTCTTTAGAACCTACTATCTTATGTCATTGGAATTACAATATCTTATATTATCATTGGAATTACAATATCTTATGTTATCATTGGAACTATCTTATGTCATTTGAGTAGGACATTCATTGTATCCTCGTGTTAGTATGCATGCCGGTTCAACACAAACCAGCCTTGACAATCAGTATATTATTCTATGGTAATATTCTTAAGTTAGTGCATTATTAAAATAAACAAATAGTAGTACATTAATACGTATAAACTATATTTATTATGTTTATCAGAATTTATTTATTTGCTACGTAACAATACAAAGCTAAACAAGGAAATATATAAAATAAACCAAATACGTAAAAGATATAACGATAAGTTTAGGGTTAGCGTTAGTGTTTAAAAGCCATAAATGATAAGAATAATAGGTTATACGTACGTACATAAGTACATACCTTCATTGTTTAATTAGTTTGCCAAGGTTAATTTAAACATTAATTTTCAAACATTAATTTTCGATAAGGTATAGCAAGTTTGCACTCTTTAACCGGCTATTTTTGGTATTTGTATTACCTACGAAAATAAGTGGATGCACAAAAATAAGCGTATATGTATTAAATATAAAAAAAAAAAACAATTTATATTAATAAAGTTAGGAATGTTAGGAACGTAAAGAATATAAGTTAAGTATTTCATGTTAAATTAAATACTTACGTACGTAGATTTGTTTATTAAATCCAAATTTGTTCTTATTAAAACAAATAAATATATTCTTTGATTTGATAGTGTAATGTTTCCTTAAAAGAACCATTCCTTAATAAGATATTTCTTAATAAAGTATTTCTTAATGAGGTATTTTCTTAATAAGAAAATCTATTTTTACCAGGGCTAAAAAAGCCACATAATTATAATCAATAATTTGAATGAATTTGAACCGAGTTAAAATAGATTTTTTTTTTTCCTCCAATAAAATAAAAATTTTTTTTCATTATTCTTTTTT